TTTTAACTTTCTTGGGTTCGTTACTTTTTCTAAAAATTGAATAACGTAAATATAGTCATAGTTGTAAAAAATACTTTTAAAAAGTATTTTAAATAATATTCAAATATTTAAAAAAAAATGTATTTAAAATACTATTTGAATACTTTTCATACAAAAGTATTTGAGTATTACTCAATTACTTTACAAAAGTATTTCAAATACTAAGAATACAATTAAAAAATAATAATAATGTTTATATTTTAACTAAGAGCAAAAGGTTCCACCTAAATAATTACCAAGAATCAGTGAAAAAAAACCCAGCACAGGGTGGTCGCAGCACAGTGGTGACGTGGCATAGTTGAATCAAGTATTATGATATCTGACAGTGATTAAAATCACTATCAAAAAAAAACGCTTCGATGCAAATCTTTAGATAGTGTTTAATTTTAAAAAATTGGTGGATTATTCCAAAAGCTTCATAAACTGCTAGTTCCTTATTAATATCCTGATTAAGACAAAGTATGTAGAATAAAAAAGAGATTATTAGAAAATAGTATTTCCCATAAAAAAATTATATTGATCAATACACTTTTCAATAAGTTATAGCATTATAATGTTAAAAATGTAAAAAATAAAATTGAGAATTTTCACACAATAATAGCATTTGGTAGCCATTTTCACCTTGAAGATAAAATAAAGTCCGAAATTTTTTTTTTCCATGATAAAGTATATTACATTAGCTTTAATTTAAGATATATATAAAAGTGTCAGACTTTCCGGAACACTTTCAAAATTTAAGTTGAAAAAGTCAATTTTTTGTGAAAAAGTTGTCATTTTGAATCCCCCCCTGTAGGCAGGTAAAAAGTCAGATTTATAAAAAAAATATACCAAATGATAGGTAAAGACATCATGCATCTACAAAAAAAAGAATTATATTGATCCATACATCTTTCGAGAAGTTATAGCATTATAAAGTTAAAAATATAAAAAAGAATTTTTTTACAAAAATCGTATTTTTTTTATTAAGTTTAATGTCTGTTTTCACCATGAAGATAAAATAAAGTCCGAAATTTTTTTTTACCATTATAAAGTATATTACATTAGCTTTAATTTAAGATATATATAAAAGTGTCAGACCTTCCGGAACACTTTCAAAAGTTACGTTGAAAAAGTTCTACTTTCTATATGCATTTTTATGTTTTGAATCCCCCCTGTATTTAGGGAAATGGTCCGATTTAAAAAAACAGTATGTCGAATGAAAGATCTATATAAATACTACTTCTCATAAAAAAATTGTAATGATTCATACATTTTTCAAAAAGTTATAGCATAATAAAGTTAAAAATGGAAAATACAAAATCGAAAATTTTCACACAAAAATAGCATTCGGTAGCCATTTTCACCATGAAGATAAGATAAAGTCCGAAATTTTTTTTTTTCATGATAAAGCATATTACATTAGCTTTAATTTAAGATATATATAAAAGTGTCAGACCTTCCGGAACATTTTCAAAATTTAAGTTAAAAAAATTAATTTTTTGTGAAAAAGTTGTCAATTTAAATCCCCCCTTGTGGGCAGGTTAAGGGTTAAATTTATGAAAAAAATATACCAAATGAAAGGTAATGATATTATGCATCTATATAAAAAAGAATTATATTGATATGTTTATTTTTGAAAAAGTTATGGCACTTTTAAGTAAAAAAAATTGAAAAAATTTCGAAAATTAGCAAAGAAATTATTGCTAATGTATTTTTAGGATTAGTCCATTGTTGGTGATAATGGGAAAACTATAAATTTTATAGAATTCAAGTTTAAACTAGCCTTCTTGGATTATCCTTAATTATAGTATTAAAAAAAACCCAGCACAGGGGGTCGCGGCATGATTGGGTCAATGGAAATCTTTAGTGTTTTATTTTAAAAAGTAGGGGGATTATTCCAAAATCTACATGATCTGCTATTTCCTTATTTATATCCTGATTAATATAAAGGATGTCAAATGAAAGAGGGATATAAATATTATTTCTCATAAAAAAATTGTATTGATCCATACACTTTTCAATAAGTTATAGCATTATAAAGTTAAAAAAGTAAAATATAAAATTGAGAATTTTCACACAAAAATAGCATTTGGTAACTATTTTCACTTTGAAGACAAAATAAAGTCGAAAATTTTTTTTTACCATAATAAAGTATATTACATTAGCTTTAATTTAAGATATATATAAAAGTGTCAGACTTTCCGGAACACTTTCAAAATGTAAGTTGAAAAAGTTCTACTTTCTACATGCATTTTTTAGATTTGAACCCCCCTCGTATAACGGGAAATGGTCCGATTTAAAAAAACAGTATTTCGAATGAAAAATGTACTAATATACTACTTCTCATAAAAAAATTGTATTGATCCATACATTTTTTAAAAAGTTATAGCATAATAAAGTTAAAAATGTAATATACAAAATCGAAAANATAGCATAATAAAGTTAAAAATGTAAAATACAAAATCGAAAATTTTCACACAAAAATAGCATTCGGTAGCCATTTTCACCCTGAAGATAAAATAAAGTCCGAAATTTTTTTTTTTTAATAATAAAGTATATTACATTAGCTTTAATTTAAGATATATATAAAAGTGTCAGACCTTCCGGAACACTTTCAAAAGTTAAGTTGAAAAAATTAATTTTTTGTAAAAAAGTTGTCATTTTAAATCCTCCCCTGTGGGCAGGTAAAAAGTCAGATATAAAAAAAAAATATACCAAATGAAAGGTAATGATATCATGCATCTATATATAAAAAAAACTATATTTATATGTTCATTTTTAAAAAAGTTATGGCAGTTTTTAGTAAAAAAAATTGAAAAAATTTCGAAAATTAGCGATTTTTAAATTTGTAATTTTTTTGGAGGTTTCCCCCATTTACGGGGAACGAGGGA